ACCAGTAGACCAATGTGGTCGTCAGCCTACTCATATGTTCCCTTTGAGTTTCAGTCTTAGAGAGGGGTATGTCCTGAAGGAACCTGATTGCTTCCCTGAGATATGTTTTTCTACTTCTATTGCATATTTCTTCTATTAATAATATCAAAATGAAGTATTGTTTTAAACATTGAAACTTTTTCAAAAGTGATATTTGCTATGTATATATTTTTCATTCTACATGTATTCCTATGATTTCCTTATGTGACCGTAGATGTCTACTTCATTTTGACTGTTGTATATAGTCTTCAATATAGAACTCTAGTAGCGTAGTGATTTTGAGTCTGGCTGCTAACCTCAGAGTCAGAAGTTCAAAACTACTTGCCCTTCAACAGGAGAAAGATTAGGCACTTCTGTTCCTGTAAAGATTTACAGCCTTGGAAACCCCGTACAGGGTTGCTATGAGTTGCAACCGACTCCACGGCACACAATCACCACCATATAGTCTCCTATGGATGAATATATCCTATGATTATCTAGTTTCCTAATGATGGGTGACTAGGTTTTCAGTTATTTGATATTATAAACTATGTCATACTTTTATATCTAACTTGTGCAAGAATTTCTCTGAAATAAGCTTCTAGATGTGGAATTGTAAGACAAAGAGTCTGTATCTTCATCTCTTCAGATACATCACTTTGGAGAGCAATTTAGCAATATGTGTTTGTGTTTTCTTGTCTCCTCTCCAGTACCTGGTGTTAGTATCAGTTTCGTGTTTAGTAGTTTGATAGGTTTCAGATGTTAGGTTATTGTTCTCTTTTGCCTTTCTGATTTTATTTATTTGTTAAAACAGTGTTTTAAATGTATGGCATAACCCTATTAAAATCAGACATGCATGTATTTAGCTATGTACATATATATATACATGCAGGTTTGTAAAGTGAAAGTAGTTTTGAAAGGTACTTCCCAAAATACTACAGTAATTATTCTCAGGAACTGAAATTCAGAATGGAGTTGCAATGATACAAAATTTACCTTTTTCTTCATGTACTTCTTTTTCTGTATTATCATTGAGGTTTTTTTTTTTAATAATGTGCATGACATACTTTTAATTTAAAGATATAAAAAATTTAAATGTACAATTTAGAATGTTGTTACTGTCCAAGGTGGAATATCAGAGACTGAATTTACCCTTCTACCTTAAACAACACAGCAACGAAAAATAAAACTGGACAAAATATATGAGATCACAATTTTCAAATCTAAAGAAGAAAAAAGTGGACATCAGGGAATAAAGGACAGTGATCTCAGAAGATGAAAACCAAGCAAGGTGAATCCTGCAGTTGCCTCACTGTTGCCTTGAGAAAGCATTCAGACCACAGCTCAGGGATGGGAATCTGGGGTGAGAAGAATATGGCGTGACAAAGATGGCTTCAGTTCCTGGGACAAACTACAAGGAAGAGAGAGGTGTACAGAGAGCTACACAGGTCTGTGGAGGCGTCCCTTTGTGGATTCGTCAGGTCAGCACATGTGTGTAAGAGAGCGACGTAAGACCTGGAAAAGAACCTTCTAAAAGGATTAGAAGGAACAGTGCCTGGTACTCATATCAGGCCAGGAATAGTGCCTGTTCCCACCAGCCAGATTTGGGGAAAAAAATGTAATAATTTACAGGCTTCTGGGTAGAGTGCTCAGAAGTATCTTGTCTAGTGGGAAATAATTAACTCTGAGACTAAGCTTTCTCAATCCTAGTGTTATTGATAGTTTGGACTGGGTAATTATTTGTAAGGGAATTTCAGTGCATTGTAGAGTGTTTAGCAGCACCCCTAGCCTCAACTCATAGAGGCCAGTAACACCTCCTTAGTTGCTACTGTTAAAAATATCTCTAGAAATTGACAAATACCTCTGGACAGCAAAATCATGTCTTGTTGAGAATCACAATCCTAGACTAAACTCTACTCTGGTCCTGCCTCACAAAACATAAGTGTAGGACCCAATAAAGTCAAGCTCATTTCAAGGAATTTAGCTCACAAATACAAAGCTCAGTCAAAAAGTATTGTTAAGATGACTCCAGTTCGTACATGCATAGGCTTATTCCAAACAAATCATGTTTAAACATGTTTCTGTGGTCAGTGGATGGGTGTAGATAAGTTGTCAGTAATACATTTGTCTTGTTAAGTGCTGTCAAGTCGGTTCTGACTCATGGTGACCCTGTAGAGGGTTTCAACGAGCAGCTGATGGGTTTTAACTGCTGACTTTGTGGTTCACAGTCCAGTGCTCATCCTACAGGGGTACACCAGGTCTTAAGCTGTCTTAAAAAGACAATGGCTAATCAGAATAATGGCTTCTGAGGGGATCTGCTGGGCTAGTTAAATTCAAGGCAGAAAAAGTCAGTTGAGAAGGTTATGATAACTATGTTTTTGGATTCCAAATTGGAGGGGCTATCTTGATAAATTTTCTCAAAGTAAACAGGACACTCATTGGGGCTTACTAAGAAGTTCTAGGAAAACTGAAAACAGCCTTGACTAGAAAAAGGCTAGGGAAGTTGCAATAAGGAATTGTTTTCCCCCATCATAACAATGCACCTGCTCATTCTTTGAGGGTATCAAGAGCTGTTCTATGAAAATTTCATTGAAAAATCTACCCCACCCATTCTATAGACACTATCTTGACTTTCAGGCTTCTTTTTTGTTCTCAAAACTATTCATTTTAAAGAAACATGATCTGAGTCTTTGAAGATACCAAACTATTTTGCTGTGGTGTCAAATGAAGAGGACAGAGTTCTTCGGGAAAGAGTTAGAGAGGTGGAACACTGCCTTCAGAAGTGTATAGACCTAGATGGATGGGACAGTGAGAAACTCACTTCACATTTTGATGTTTTTGTTTAATAAAGATTTATGATTTTATAGCAATACTTTTTGATTTAGTCTCATATTTATAGGAAAACAAAATTTTTAGTGTTTTTATAAAATCTAATAAAAAATTACCAGACATGCAAAGAAGTAGGAAAATGTGATCCATAATGAGATAAAAAACCTGTCAATCAAAACTAACCCAGAACTGAGATACAAGAATGTAAACCACAGCATTAAAGCATTTCTCATAACTGTATTATGTATGCTGAAAGTGTTCAGCTGTTGTTGAGTGCTGTCAAGTCACTTTCAACTTATAGTGTGACTCCATGTGACAGTAGAAGTACTCCATAGGGTTTTCTTGGTTGTAAAGTTTAAGGAAGCAGATTGCCAAATCTTTCTCCTATAAAGCTGTTGGGTAGGTTGGAATTGCAAGCCGTTTGGTTAGTAGCTATAAAGCCCACAATCCAACTTGTAGAGATAAAAAGATGCACCATCTAAGATGAAAAATACACCAGCTGCCAGAGAGGGAGAGAGGCTGCAAGCTGTGGGCAGGCTTGCAGGGTATATCCTGTGGTTGGTTGATGATACTTGGAGGGGATTGTAACCATGGCAATGAAATGATATACGATAGGATGAATGTAAATCTAATGTTCTCCCATGTAAACTATCACATAATTCACAATAAAACATTAAAAAAAAAAAAAAAAAGAATACAGACTTATCGCCTCCCCTTCACTCGTCTTACCCACCCAATCTACCTAAGCCCCCAAACTAGATAATACTGTATGATTGAAGCTGGCATGGGGCCTAACACAAAGTAAATTTTCAACAAGGATTTGTTCTTGGTACATGCCCTTTCCCTCCACACTTATGCACAGTATTTAACTGCACTTGCACATACATGACATACACTCAAAAGCCTAGATTAATGGGATGATCTAACCATGATGCAGAGGTACACAAGGTAATGATACTGACTAACCAGAAATACCTCTTAAGTCAGGCTTCTGTGTCTGGGAATGGGATGGTGTTGATAAGTGCCATCGAATTGGTTTTGACTCATAGCGAACCTGTGTAGAGTTTTCAAGGAGCAGCTCGTGAGTTTGAACTGCTGACCTTGCAGTTCAAACTGACCTTGTGGTCCAGTGTCACACCAGAACTACAGCGTCACACCAGAACTCAGGGGGTGGATAGAGGGAAGTAAATGACAATGGCACACTTAACTGACTTTTAATAAACATTGATGAAGAGAATCCTGGTGTGGCACTGTGGGCTAATGCGTCAGACTGCAAAGCCATTTGAACTGCAAGGTCTGTGGTTCAAGCTCACCAGCTGCTCCTCGGAAACCCTATACAGGGTCGCAACCGACTTGATGGCACTTCACAACAACAAATAGCAAAAAATATCAAAATAGAGGAAAACTTGGCTACTTACACACCTCTCTGAATGCAATCTCTTTGACAAGAACGCAGCTTTGATCAATGGAAACAAAAATGGACAGTTTTAGGAAACATCTACTTGTTGTTTATACTGGTATTATGAGCATAGCCTTTATGCTCACTTGTTTTTGTTTCCTCCACTACAACTGTATGAGCGATGATGCCCCGAAAGGAGACATGACGAGGAAACAAGAGATAGCAGCCAAATCATCCAGATTATCACCCAGTGAATTCAAAGAGCATCAGTCCTAACAGTCCAGAAAAACAACCCAGACTATCCTGTATAGACAAGTTTTTGGAGCCATCAAGTCCAGTACCATCTCTACCATCCAGTACAGAGAATCTCTTCAGGTCGTCGGGGACAGTACAGTCTTCTCCATCAACCAGTGCACAAATGTTTCTCAGGCCATAAAGTCCAGAAAAGTCATCTCTACCATCCAATAGAAACTCATCCAGGCTATCAAGTCTAGAAAAAGTATTCAGGTCACCTCCCCACCCTCCGAAAAACCTATCTAGAACATCTAGCATAGAAAAGACATATAAGGTAACCCATACCCAAAAGCCAGTCTGTCAAATCTGTTTGTCCTGTTCACATAAACCAATTAGACCTCCTTGTCTGCCCTGCCCACAAAAGCAGATCTGGCCACCTGAGGAATGTGCTCTACCCAGACTGGCCAAGCCACCCAGACATCCTAATGCAAGATGATCTCGTATTACATAAAAGACTACCATGTTGTCTAGGCCTCTGCTACCCAAGACTTGTCACTGCTACAAGGAAAGATGCCTTGTTTGCAAAACTTCTGAGCCTTTGCTCAAAGAAATTTCTGAGGTGAAGATTGACATTGCTTAATCCTCACTTTTTCCATGTGAAGTGAAATATTTATCCAGGTCCTTAAATAAAATGGAGTCTATGGACAATGCTTTATGTAATGATGTGGGTAAGAGTGATGTGGAGACATGTCACAGTGATGATGACAGTGATAAGGAGATACTCATTATTTGTAATGTTCAGCGTGAGAAAGTGCTCCCTATAACTGCTCACAATAATGAAGGGCTCAAACAAATTAATTCCAACTAGGAAGATGTAAACGTACACCAACATACTGTTTTAAGTTCACTATCCCAGACAGAGGGAAAGATTCATCGAGAGAATAAAAATCCAAATCACTTTTGAGATCAACCCTATTGATCTTGGAAAATATTTTCTTGGAAATGAATAAACACATGGCATAACAACACCACCAACAAAATACACCAGCTGGAATTAGTGGCAAATTAAGCTCTGCAGAAGAAAAGATTGAAGACTGCAATAGAAACTATCCAGAGTGAGACAGAAAAGGATTGCAGAAGCAAAGAAACAAAAGTACACTTGACCTGTGGCACAACTTCAAGTGGCCTAATGCACGTGAATTTAGAGTCTCTGAAAGTTAAGGGATAAGGGAGCAGTAGAAAAGATATTTGCGGAAATCATGGGTGAAAAATTCCCAAAATTTATGAAAGCTATAAGTTTGTGGATCTAAGAATCTCAATAACCACCAAGAAGAAGAAAACAAAAAGAGAAATACATCAAGCACATCATAATCAAAATTGTTCAGCACCAATGATAAGCAAAAAACAATACAAGAAACCAAAGAAAAGAGGTTTGTTACACACAAAAGAAAAAAGATAAAGACACAACTTTTCTGCTGGAAACAATACAAATAAGTTAGTGCAGCAGTGTTTTTTGAAGTACTGCAAGGAAAATAAATACTGTCAACCTCGAATTCTGTATCTGGTAAAAAAGTGTCTTTCGAAACAGAGATGAAATAAAGACATTTCAGACATGTGAAAATGGAGAGAGTTCATCAGCAGTAGACCTGCACTACAAAGTTGAAGTTAAGTCTTCCAAGTAGAAGGAAAATGATATGGAAATCAAGATCTACACAAAGAAATGAAGAGCATTAGAAATGGTAAATAAGTATACAAGAAAATATTATGTATTTTTTTTCTGATTCAATTTATCTAAAAGATAATTGATTTTAATAGGAAATGCTTTATATATACCACACTACAAAATGGTAACTATTTAAGTTAAAAACAACAATATAAATGGGGTTGATAATATTGACAAAATGCATGCCAGATAGATTACAAAGACTGAGAGGGGAAAAATGAAAGTATGATATAATAATGTTCTGATTCTATGTGGGAAATGGCATAATATTATTTGAAGATAAGTTGTGATATGTTAAAGGTGTATACTGTAAACCCTAAAGCAACCACTGAAATAACAAAGAGACGTAAAAAGCCAACAGTGATGATAAAGGGGAATCATAAATAATACTTGAGTAGGAGTCCTGGTGTGGTGCCTTAGGGTAACACTTGACGTCAAGGTTGGTTAGAACTGCAAGGTCAGCGACACTTAGCAACAACAACAACAAACTCAAAATGAGACAGGAAAGAGAAAAACAGAGCAGATCAGACAAAGAGAAAATAAATGTTGAGATTATTGTCTTCAATTTAACCTTGTCAAAAGTCATATTAGATATAAATTGTTGAAACACCTAATTTAGAGGCAAAGATTATTAGATTGGGTGAAAACACAAAACCCAAATTTCAGTTGCCTATAAGGAACACACTGTATACGGACATTTATTTCTTCAGTTTCTTCTTAAAGTGAAGATAACTCCTTGTAATTGTTCTAGGGAAATACAGTAATTTTCTGTTCATCCTTTGTAAGTAAAATGGGTGGATAGTTCTACTGACATTTATAAAATGAAACACTTTAAACATAAAGACACTGGGAAAAAACTGATTGTAGTAAGTCGATTCTAGCTCTTAACCCTATAAGGTTTCCAAGGCTATAATTTTTATAGAGTCCTGGTGTGGTACTGTGGGTTAATACGCTGGACTGTAAGGTTGGTTGGAACTGCAAGGTCAGTCATTTAAGCTCACTAGCTGCTTCTTGGAAACCGACTCGATGGCACTTGACAACAACAATCTTAATAGAAGCAGACTTTCCACCTCAGAGTACCTGGTGGGCTTAAATTTAAGATCTTTCAGTTAGTAGCTGAAAGCTTTAAAACTGTGCCACCAAGATTTCTTTTATAAAGACACAGTTTAAAAGTAATGGGGTAGAAAAATACATAACATGCTGACACTAAAGAAAGCTGGACTGTGACTATGTTAATATCAGGCAAAATAGATTTC